GCAGGCAGGGAGCAGACTCAACATTGGGCGAACGGGGTGATACAGAATGAGCGACCTATGCTGTGGTGTGATGCTTTGGTGTCCTTTCATTTCCACTTCTGCTCAGGACATTCAGTTGCAGCCAAGTGACAACTCTACAGAAGCGACCGAGTGGTCTCCTGATTTAATGTGGACACAATATGAGTGGCTGTTCATAAACATGACAGTCACTGCCAACAATGCCAGTGATTTAGTTGGCCAAACAATCTTTGCTCTGATGATGGTCACTAAACGGCTAAATATCAAGGCACAATTGTATACATTTTCAAACATACTTGTGAGGTACAACAAATATCAGCACTAACAGGTAGCGGCAGAGTGTAGATGTTACTTAGATAACTGAGGTGAAGATTAATTGTCTGGCAAAACTGAAAATATCACAAGTGGAGAACACAAAGGCAATTTGGAAAACACTTACCTTTGACCCGGTAACAAAGTCTGTCAGGACAGCACGAGTGGGACCAAGGAAATCCAAACAAAGTCCAGAACAGAAACCTAGGAACAAACATGGAAAGTGATTTAAGAAGTCAGGAGAACATACACGGGACTTACAAGAGATCTGAACAGATAGACAGACAGTAGACAACAACAAAAAGAAATCACTGTCATTAACTTTCTCACCTTTTCTAAACAGGACCTCACTCCCTCTACTGATGGAGCACTTGCTGTGGTCTCTCCCACACCACTTATTACATCTCAATATGCTGAAAATAAAGATGCAAACATGTAAAAGCATTTACCCACATCCTGATTTTACCCGAGCTAGTGAGGAAATGATTTCCCAGATACATTATGAACATCTCTCAACTGCAATTACTGCTGTTTTCAAGTCGCTTTGCATAAATATCTCAAACACACAGCATGAACATCAGCCTTGAGTGGTTGTTGTGAATTCAAATACTTTTACATTTTAATGTATCATAAGTGCTCTTCAGCGGTTGTTTGGATGGTTACAGAAAATTCTGTTATCCTCTTAGAAAAATGCAAGACATGAATGTCTGTTTGTTGCTTGAGCTTGTTATCTGATGTATTACTTTTGAAATTCTACTACTACCTCTGCTACTACTACTACTACTACTAATAATAATATTAATAATAATTCTTATTTAAGTAGCCACTGCATCACAGAATTTCCATCATCCCCTGCAGTAATTCAGCCAGCTTAAATCAAGGGTGTCAAACTCTATTGCACAGGGAGCCGAAACTCAAGGCGCACTTTAAGTCGCGGGCCAAACAAGATGAACATTTATTGAACACACGAAAACAACGTTTTTAAACATGAATATGAATAAAAACAGACAAAAATATTATTCCAGAATAAATAAACTTAGAAAAATTAAACTTTAACTTTGACTTTAAATATTTTGCTTTCCATAAAAATATATCCTGTCAAATTTATGCAAGGATTTTAGGGTTAGGGTCTTTTTTATTTTTTTTTAAGAGGTTATGTAACTGAGATTAAACTCTGGGGGAATATTTATGCTTAAATATTTATGGTTGCCAATGTGAAGAAGGAGAGCAGGGTCCTGACCTGGAGATTGCATCCTCAGAGAGTGACATTATGGTTGATTTATTCCAGTTTATTGTGTATGTAACCCAGAGTAAAATCTGATTTACTAGAATTTAGTAATTTCCTGCACATATTTCCTGGCATTGAACGCATCACAAATACATGACTCCAACCACATGACTTTGCTCAGCCAATCGGATGGCATGTAGGTCATAGTAAGC